TTAAAAAAAAAAAAAAAAAAGGAGCCCTGGTGGCACGGTGATTAAAATGTTTGGCTGCCAACCAAAAGGTCAGCTCGAACCCACCAGCCACTGTGAGGGAAAAAGACGTGGCAGTCTGCTTCCATGAAGACTACAGTCTAGGAAACCCTATGGGGCAGTTCTGCTCTGTCCTATAGGGCCACCATGAGTCAGAATCAACTTGATGGCAGTAGTTTTATTGGAAGTTATAAAAAAGTGACCCAAGCTAATGAAAACTATTAAGTAAATGATGATTGGCACATACATATGGCAGGAATCATAAAGGTGGGACATACAGGATTAAAAGTGGGGAAGCACTGCAGCAGTGTTAGAAGAATGAGTGCGAATCCCAGCTCTGTTTCTGCTAGCTGCGTGACCTAAGGAAAGTACCTTAACCTCTCTGTGCTTCAGTTCCCTTATCTGTAAAAGGAGGATATTAACAGTGTCTACCTTGAATGTGGAGCCCTAGGTAGCACAAACAGTTAAGCACTCAACTACTAGCCAAAAGGTCGGCAGTTTGAACACACCCAGAGGTGCCTTGGAAGACAGGCCTGGTGATCTGCTTCCAAAAGTTCACAGCTTGGAAACCCTATGGAGCAATTCTACTCCGCACACATGGGGTGGCCATCGGTCGGAATCAACTGGACAGCAGCTCACAGTAACAACATCTTGAATATAGAACACTTAGCTCAGTGTCTGGTACACAGACAATGCTCCAGAAATGCTAAATGCCATTTACCTAGCTCGAACGCTACCTCTTCCATGAAGCCTTCCTAAGTATTGTAATCAGAGGTTTTCTCCCCTTCCTCTGTTCTCTCTTGGTACTTTGTACTTGTCTTGTGGAACGTCACATATTCTGTCTTATACACAGTTGTGGGGTATTAGACTATTGACATATCTATATTCCATACAGGGCCTCGATTATAAATGGATTCCTCCCTCCTTTTTTTCATATTTTTGGTTTATAAAGACATAAAAATTCGTTCATATTTTTTTGAGGAAGCTCTAAAGATCCTCTCCAATTTCAACATTCTACAGAGTATCCAGGGAAACCTCAAAAATCCTAGAGCAAGAGAAGAGATAATGCTTGTTTAGTATCATTTAAATTACTGCTATACACAGATGAGAAACATGGGGTTCTGTCTGTTCCTCTTTTCTGGAGCAAGAGAGAAAGGCCCACTGATGGGAGCAGTAGGAGTCACGGAGTCATGGAAATAAGGACAAGAGGCACAGGGATAGAGCACAGTCCGTAACAGACTATAAAGAGGTGAAGGGAAGACGGCTGGCAATGGACAGTATGCCACAAGGGACAAAAACAGAATGGGAACGATACGCTGTAGGATTGCACGCTAAGCCTTCAGAATGAAATGTCATAAATGAACCTGACATGACTCTTTTGCACAGGACTTTTTATAATTAAAATACAGGAAGACAGTAAAGTGTGAACCTGAATGTAGAAAGGGGACAAAGACCCACCTCCATGGTTCCGCCATCTTAAGGCTGGTCTGATGAGGAGTATGGCTGAGAGGAGTTATCTCTGGTTGAATCATTTATTTCCTCTCTTTTCAGAAGCTGAGACAGAGCCTCTTTGGAAATACTGCCCATATCTTCAGTTATGATTGGAAAACGGCCTACTTCAAGTTCCATGAACCTTTTTCTGACCTGGCTTTTGCTTTGGAAATGGGAAAGGTAATAGGCAGTTGATAATTTTTTTAAAATCCTTCTGCATGTTCCCTACCCATGCTTCCTTTCATTCCTCATTCAAATGAATGTGTTTTCATTATAATCATCTGTAGAAACACACTTATAATTTAAAATTAACCTTAAATTATAACTGAATGTTTGAAATTAGAATATCCTGTCTGGGTTGTAACAAGTCTCCACGTCCCTGTTTTCAAATTCTAGTTTTCCTAACTCTTCTCTCCAAGTCTTAAGCACTTCTGAGAATTTAGAAGGCAGGAGGAGATCTAGAAACTTTTTCTCTGGCTTGTTTAAAATCACAGTAATTCACACCATCACCTACCAGTCAACACCTAAATTTCAAGGGCTAGCCAACTAGTTCCTTACCTCCTAAACCAAAACCAAACACGTTGCGGTCGAGTCCATTCCGACTCATAGTGACCCTATAGGACAGAGCAGAACTGCCCCATAGGGTTTCCAAGGCTGTAAATCTTTTTTTTTGTGCTTTAAGTGAAAGTTTACAGCTCAAGTTAGTTTCTCATACAAAAATTTATACCCACATTGTTATGTGACCTAGTTGCTCTCCCTATAATGTGACAGCACACTCCTCCTTTCTACTCTGGATTTCCCGTGTCCATTCAACCAGCTCCTGTCACTTTCCGCCTTCTCATTTTGCCTCTGGACAGGAGTTGCCCATTTAGTCTCATGTATCTACTTGAACTAAGAAACATACTCTTCACCAGATTCATTTTATGTCTTATAGTCCAGTCCAATCTTTGTCTGAAGACTTGTCTTTGGGAATGGTTTTAGTTTTGGGTTAACAGAGAGTCCAGGGGCCATGTCTTCCAGGATTCTTATAGTCTCAGTCAAACCATTAAGTCTGGTCTTTTTACTAGAATTTGAGGTCTGCACCCTGCTTTCCTCCTGCTCCATGAGGGACTCTCTGTTGTGTTCCCTGTCAGGGTGGTCATTGGTGGTAGCTGGGCACCATCTAGTTCTTCTGGTCTCAGGCTGATGGAGTCTCTAGTTTATGTGGCTCTTCTGTCTCTTGGGCTAATATTTTCCTTGTGTCTTTGGTGTTCTTAATTCTCCTTTGCTCCAGGTGGGTTGGGACCAATTGATGCATCTTAGTTGGCTGCTCGCTAGCTTTTAAGACCCCAGATGCCAAGGCTGTAAATCTTTATGCGATCAGACTGCCACATCTTTCTCCTGTGGAGTGGCTGATGGGTTCAAATGGTTGACCTTTCAGTTAGCAGCCAAGCATTTAACCACTGCACTACCGGCGCGCCTCCCTTACCTCCTACAATCTAAAAAATTTGATATGAAGTAGGGGCATAGTGAAGGTAGGGTTTACTAGTTGCCATAGAGTCAACTCCAACACATGGCAACCCCACGTGTGTCAGAGTAGAACTGTGCTCCATAAGTTTTTCAATGTCTGATTGTTCAGAAGTACATTGCCAGGGCTTTCTTCTGAGGTGATTCTGGGTGGATTTGAACCTCCAACCTTTTGGTTAGCAGCCAAGTTCATTAAACATTTGCGCCACCTAGATATTCCTAAGGTAGAATGTGGTTGTTGTGTGCCTTCGAATCGATTCCAACTCATAGCCACCCTATATGATAGAGTAGAACTGCCCCACAGGGTTCTCTAGGCTGTAATCTTTCTGGGAGCAGATTGCCAGGTCTTTTCTCCCACAGAGCCGCTGGTGGGTTCGAACCATTGTCCTTTCAGTTAGCAGCTGAATGCTTAACCGTTGTACCATCAGGGCTCCTTAAGGTAGAATAAAGGAGGACATGCATTCCCAGTCTACAGAGCTCCACACAAAACTAGTCATTGCAGATTATAACCCCGCCATGTCCCAAAGAAAAGGATGGCACGCACACGTACAACTCCACTCACTTGACTCAGTCTAGGAGATGCCGTTATACCAGGAGGGAACAGACTGCAGAGAAGAATAGATAACGCCATCCATTTACAAGAGTTCTCTTTTGTAACTTCCCCCGAGTCGTTCCACTACAATTGTGAACCCCTGCTTCCATCTTCGCTCATCTCAGTATTCATCCTCTTTGTTTCAGGGAGGGGCCCGAGGTATTCAGATGGCTGTGCAAGCATCCATCATCAAATACTTGTTGTTTACAAGCGAGGGAAAAGAGTGTAACGTTCACAGGTAAGAGGACATTGAGAAGTACTTGAACGTGTTACTCATTTCACTAGAACCTTTATATGCTAAATAATCACAGCTGGAAAATTCAGCTACTTCAGGCAAGGGACCTGCCTCATAACACAGGCTCTGTTTCTAGCAGAGGGACGAGTTCCACAGCTGGGGAGGGCTCTCCTGGGGCCACCCTCAATGTTCAGCTGCAGTAATAATCTTGGCAGGCGTTATGCTCAGCTGCAGACCACCCTGTCAGGTCAAATGAAGCACCAGGTCTCAGGTGGGCTTGCTTGCTCACATTTTATGAGAAGCCCCACCTAACAATTCCAAGGAGGAACAAAAGGGGGTGATGGAAAACCTGATAAATGAAGGATCAATTCTCCTATTTAACCCAGCTGACAAAATACAGCATTTGGTAGTTACCTATTAAGACAAAAAAAAAAAATCAGTTCAAATTGCTTTATCCTTAGAAGTTAACAAACCCTATCGTGTGCAAAGCCCCATGCTAGATATTGGAGGAGAGGTAAAGAAGTAAAAGTCATACTTCTGCCCTCAGGCAGGATATGTTATCACCGAAAACAGGAACTAAATGTACAGTATATTTTAAGATCATGTATTGCCAAGTTCCCTGGAAACAGAGCCCCAGATGGGAATTCTTATGCAAGTGATTTATTAAGGAAGTGCCCTCAGGAAAAATCTGTAAGGGAGGGAAGCAAAATGTCGAAGGAGAAGAACCTAAGTGTTGTTGTTGTGTGCCGTTGAGTCAATTTTGAACGATAGTGGCCTCATGTGACAGAGTAGAATTGCCCCATAGGATTTCCTGGGCTGTGCTATTTATGGGAGCAGATCACTAAGTCTTTCTCCTGCAGTGCTGCTGGGTGGGTTTGAATTGCTGACCTTTCAGTTAGCAGCCAAGCACTTAACCACTGTGCCACCAGGTCTCCTTAAGAAGCTAAGTAAGGATGTGGTTTTCAGCCATGTTCAGCCTTAGCCTGATCCTGCGGGGAGCTCTGGAGCATTAAATGCACGGTGGAGTCGGTCCCACCTGCAGATAAGGCGGCAGGGCTGTCGTATTTCCAACCCTAGTCAGTCATTGGCTATGGGCCATCCTTAGGGAGGGGACATAACTCCCAGTCACTTCTGGGCAAGATGGCGCCAATCCTCCAGAGAAAGTGCCGGTTGCAACAGTACCCATAGGAGCTGGGAGCTGTGCCCATCAACTAAGACAGATCCCAG